AGAGTGGGGCTTCCGTCTCCACCTGTGCTTCCCCTACCCCGCCCCCAACAACTGGGGCTTACGAGGGGCTTCCGTTTTTGCCTGCTTCCCCCAGCCTGGATACCGGGTCTCTCCAATCTTGCTTCTTCCCGCTCCAATGTGTCCTTTAACTCCCAGCTCCATCCACTCACCCACTTTCTAAGACCCCAGGCGGGAAGCTCCAGGCTGTTGGGCGCCCGTGGGTCCTCTGGCCCAGCACCCCCGCACCCACAGCCCCCCGAATCAGAAGGTCGTTCCACACTTGTGGGCAGCGGGAACTCCGCCCCCTCCGTCCGCGGCCCTGCGGGGGCGAAGAGGGGAGGAGGGGGACTCGCAAGTTTGTGCCGCTCACTCCCCGGACTGGGAACAATGGCTATGGGGTGGGGGTGGATCGGGGACGGAGATGGAGGGGGCGGGACAGAGAACCGAGCGCGGGGACAGAGTCAGCCCTCCGCGCGAGAGAAGCTGCTTTTCGCTCCGTCTGTCTTGCTCCGAAGCAGAGAGCGCGAGCCCGGGAAGAGGAGGCCGAGCGCGACAACGAACAATCCAAGAGGGAGGAGACGGCGGAGGGACAAAGCCGCGGAGAGGGAAACCGAGTCAGAGGGAAGGGCGGCGAGCAGAGACCGCGAAGGAGAGGAACAGAGGGGCTGCGGGTGGCGCCCTGGAGGGTCGGGGAGGGAATCCCTGGGGTCCCGGACGAATCTGCCGGTGCCGAGAGGTCCTGGAGCGCCCGGCTCGCGCGCATGGGGTCCTCACTGTCCCCAGTGGTCCCTGCGGCCGCAGGAGCGCCGCTGGGCTGGCGCTGCGCTGCGCAGGCACCGGCCGACCGGCGGCGGGAGGGGAAAGTGCGAGGCTCGGAAGCGCCGGTGGGGAGCAAAACTTACGTTCCTAGCGCATGCTGGCGCCGGCTGCGCAGAGCTGGCGTGTAGGGGGACCTCGGACCCTCGGGCGCTCACATCGCGCCGCCGGCGCCGGGCAGGGCAGGGTAGGGCCGGGCTGGGCTGCGCGCAGCACCCAGAGCGGCCGGGGTTTGCCCGAGTCTGGCAGCCCGCGCTGGTCCCTCCTCTCAGTGCCGCGCAGAAGCCAATGGCGCGCCGTCCCCTCCCACGCGCGCGGCTGCCTCGCCCCCGAGGGTGGCCGCTGGGGCGGGCGGGAGAGAGGGGTTGGGGGACTAGGCTCCGGGCTCCCCGGCTGAGGCTTTCCTGCAGACTGCCGGCGGGGGGCGCGCTCACGCCCTGGGAGAAGGCTCTTGAGAATCAAAACCCAGAGTCCGCTCTGCCCAGGAAGACTTTCTTGTCAAGTTCTGAAGACTGTGCCCCTTTTGTGAAACTATCAACACCCTCATAGGCTGGAAAACCACACTGTCTTAAATATCCTCGGGGTATCCCCGGCTGAGGCTTTCCTGCAGACTGCCGGCGGGGGGCGCGCTCACGCCCTGGGAGAAGGCTCTTGAGAATCAAAACCCAGAGTCCGCTCTGCCCAGGAAGACTTTCTTGTCAAGTTCTGAAGACTGTGCCCCTTTTGTGAAACTATCAACACCCTCATAGGCTGGAAAACCACACTGTCTTAAATATCCTCGGGGTATTCCCTGGGGCCTAGGTCAGTGTCTAAAATAGAAGGGACTGCTTGCCTGGTAGATCCTCAAGTTTGTATAACACAATTACAATGGTCACTGTCCACTGACCGCCTGCTCAGTGCCAGGCACCTCGTGCTAAAGAGTTACAGGTATTAACTCATTTGATTCTCACAACCACCTATGAGGTCAGGATGATCAATCCCATTTTACAGATGGCTGTCATTAATGTTTGATTTTATTTAGCCTTCTGGCTTCCAGCCCAGGCCCACCCTTCTCTCCTCCTGCTTGGTGTGCCAAATAATATGACACCATCACACATCACACACACACACATACACACACACACACACACACACACACACACATCCCTTCATCCTCCACCCTGCTCCAGCGATGTCGCTGTAAAATTGCACTGTCACAGACTAAGATTTTATCTGGGGCTCCTGGACATGTGGAGGTGAGGGAAGCAGTTGTCTGATGGGGGTGAGATGGAGTTTGGGGGGCCTGGAGGCTCTCTAGGATCCTTTCAGCCTAAAAGAACCAGGCTCCTATAAACAGCATCTCTTCCCCCAAATTCTGGACTCATTCCAACACCCTGCAACCAGTAATGTGCTTGACCCAATTCCCACCACCCTGAACCCTCCTTCTTAGAAAACCGCCTGCATCTCTTCATCTTGTCTGATGGTCGTAAACGGAGTGGGGTAGGAGTGGAGGGAAGAGGAAGGCAAGGTTGCTGACATGCTCCATTTCACAAGTAAATGAGGCAGAAAGAGGTGAGTGGTGCCCCAGGCATCTCGTTAGGTGAGCATTTTGATTCCAGGTCTGAGTCATTTCTGCACCAGTTCCTTAAAGGTTAATCAAGCAGGCTCTGGAACCAGACTGTCCAGGTTCAAAACCAGGTCCAGCCTTTTGATGACTGTGTGGCCTTAGGCACACACAGATAGCAGCAGAAGAAACAGCGCACAATTAACAGGCAAAGTGCTTGGGGGGCTGGAGTAGAAGGAAGAGACCCCCACCCCTGCCCTCCCAGCATCCACTTTCCCTAAAGTGCCCATCAGAAGTTCATGTTCATTTCTTTTTTATACACTTCTCTAAACTGATGAGCAGGAACATTCTAGTTCAGGAACATTCCTTAGATTGCCATTCTGCCCTTAACCTTTCTGAAATACCTCATTTTTACATTGAGCATTAAAAAGTTCACCTCACTGGGCTATTGTGAGGATTAAAACTGACATTCGTAAAGTGTACCCCAAATCTAGGCAAGAATAGGTGCTTGGCACGTGGGAACAATGACATGTCATATTTAGGAGGCGGGAGCAGGAACATTAACTGAGAAGGGGTGAGAGGGGAGTCAGGTCCCAACTTGCTCCTAACTAGCTCTGTAACCCTCTGCTGCACCCGAAACATGGAAATATAAAAGCACTTGCCTCGCAGAGCTTGCGAGAGTGAGTGGATTAGATGAAAAAGGCTTGCAAACTGGAAAAGCTAATTTCTGTTATTATCATTATTATTGTGATTCTCATTATTATGGAATGTTTTCCTCAAAACCCCAGGAGGGGTGGGGGATGGAGCCAGCAAGGCCAGCCGAGGGACCGTCACTCCTTTCCAGCCTCCCACTGGAGCATGGGAGAAGCTGGCTTCCATCTGCCCTGGTTCCCCTCAGCAGGGGCAGCCACGCCTCCTTTATACCTCCTTTGTGCCTGATGTGAGTGTGCTTGAGTGTCTGTGTGAGCCTGTACAGGTGGGTGCCGGAAGGTGGCATGGGCATAAGGAGCACCAATGTCAGTTTTAATCCTCACAGTGCCAGAAATCACCTGTGGGTTGCGAATTCCCCGGGGGAAGAATGCAAATGCAATTGGATTTCAAAGGTGCCAGCAGTGGGCCTAGTTTGGGCACCTGGGAGTTACAGGAGAGAGGTTAAGGGGATGGGGGTTGGCCCTGCTCTTGTAGCCAGGGCCTGGGGATGGGTCTCAGTAGTGATCTACTCCCTGGGGATGGGGGGCACATAGAGAAAGAAGAAGATGTTGTCAGAGGCTGTTGTGGTTGAGCCCAGGGGTTTTGGAGCTGCTGGACATGGGTTCAAATCCTAGTTATGGGACCATAGGCCAGTGCTTTCAATTCTCTGAGCCTCGGTTTCCTGGTCTGTAAAATAAGGATAGTAGTAGAGCTTACTCCTAGGGCTTACTGGAAGTAGTAGAGCTTACTCCTAGGGCTTACTGGAGGATAAATGTACAGCAAGGAGCAAGCACATAGTAAATCATTGCTGCTGATATTATTAGTAGGCAGGCCCGGAAGATGGAGGGAGGGAGAGGGCCTCAGGAGGTGCCAGTGCTTGTAAACAGTCAAAGGTAGCTCTAGGGTGAGAGTTGTCAGGCCAGAGGGGTTGAAGCTGTCATGAAGAGCACCACTTTGGCCGAAGACGAAAGGGCTACTATCCCACAGAGCGAGGCAGAGGGCCTGGGCTTTCGTAGCTCCTGCTGGTTCCCTTTCCCGGTTCCCTTCACTTCCTCTAGAGCTTCTTTCCTTGGGAGCCTGCCTGGTCAGAAGACCTCTGGGGCTTTCCTCTCCACTCCTGGTGGTCCCAGGCTGAGCACAGTTTTGGGGACTGGGAGAAGCAGCTGGGAGCTCAGGAACTCTGAGGCAAGCCTCCCCCACACTATCCAGGCCTCCACCCCACTCCCCCGTGGCCCCCCTCCCTCCTGTGAATCATCCCCTCAGCTGCTGCTGCTGCTGCTGCAGCTCCAGGACAACAGAATGGCAAGCAGCTCCTCACCTGGGGGAGAGACATCAGAATGGGCAGAAGCAATGAAGTTCAGCCCTTCTCAAAGGAAGGATGTGACAGCTTAGGTGCCAGAGGACCACAATAAGCCATTTCCTGCTTCCAATAGGGCAAGGCTCCAGGGGACAGGTAAGAGCAGGACTTTGGAGTTAGACCATCCTGGATTTAGGGGCTCGGCCCTAGTCCTTGATAAGTAGCTCTGTGGCCTTAGGCAAGTTTCTCAGCCTCTCTGAGCCTGTTTCTTCATCTGTCAAATGGAAAGAGGAAAATCATGATGATTCACAGGGTACTTGGAGGGTTAAGTGTAAGTCCTGAGCTCAGGTCCTGGTTCACTGTAAGTGCTCAATAAATGTTCATTGACCCAATGAATGAATGAACATGTGGAAATGAAAGTGGGTGGGAGTGGGGGGTAGGTGTTGCTGTCTGTGGGAAAGCCATCCTCCGCCACCAGCTGTGAGAGGCCTTGTATTCTAGTTCCAGGGCATCTGTTGCTCTGTGCTGGTGTGAAGGGGACGGCTTCCAAAACTCAGACAGGATGGAGTGTGGACTATTCCTTGTGGGCACAGCTGATAGTTCTGCAAGCCAAACAAGAGCCTCATTCTGGGTCCAGATGCTCTCAAAGTGCTGAGCGTCACCTGTGCCAACAGATTCTAATTCATAAAATCGCTTCAGAGTAGTAGTTCTCAATGTGCAGTTACAGGGAACATGTTAGAAATGCAAATTTTCAATCCCACCGTGGACTACAGAATTAGAAACTGTGGAAGGAGGGAGTGGCTGGAGCAGCAGCCTGCCTTGCAGCAAGCCCTCCAGGAGAGTCTGATTGGAGCTAAAGTTTGAGAACCATTGTTTTAGAGTTTGCAAAACAAGATTCCTAGATTCCCTCATTGGAAGAGACACTTTGGTATCATTTGGCCCAATCTACGGGCAAGGCTAACAAGTCGGCCTTTGCCAGATGCTATCCATCAGGGAAGTGGAAGAGGTAGGCCTGTAACCCACAGCTTTTGGTTCTGGAGTATTTGTTTTTGTTCTCGGTTGGGACTGCTGACCCAGGTGTCGGGGGTTGGGGGAAGGCTCTGAGCTGAGGGGCTGCGGTGGGGTGCCGGTTCCTTCCCCTCTCCCGGGAGAGGGGGCAGGCAGTGTTTATTATTCCCTCTAAGGTGCCCCAACCCAAATCTACGTAAATAAAGCCCAGCCTGGCACTTGGAGTAATCGGTTTATTAATATTCTCGGCTGCTGCCGAGGCGGATTGCAATAACAAAGGCGGCCCTGCCGCCGCGCACCGAGACATCATTATGTAATTGCTCCGAGGAGCAGAGGGCCAGGGCGCCAAAGGCCCCAAGCACCCCAGTCCCGCACTAACGGCGAGCTGGGGGCTCCGGCGGCGGGGAGGCTGCACCCTGGAGCCCCGAGGCTCCAGGCCTGGGGTTGGGGGCAGCGGGTGGAGGGAGCGCCAGAACTGGAGCCCTCGCCCACTTCATCCATCCGCGCTCTCTTCCTCCCATGCCTAGCTGCGGGTTAACCCCTGCGCGGCTGGGCAAAGGGACCCCCAGAGGCAGATGGCTGTCCCAGGGGACTCCGCAGGCTGAGCCAGAGCTTCCCCTCCCTGACTCGCCACTGACCTTCCTGCCCCACCCTCACTCTGACTTGAAGGAGAAAAGGCTAACGCGTTTTCAGACAATTTCAGGGTGCAAGACCGGTGACCTGCATATCAAGATCATGGCAA